GGGTATTATGCTCAGTGAAATAAGCCAGGTGGAGAGAGACAAATACCAAATGATTTCATTCATCTGTGGAGTATAAGAACAAAGAAAAACTGAAGGAACAAAACAGCAGCAGAATCACAGAACCCAAGAATGGACTAACAGTTACCAAAGGGAAAGGGATTGGGGAGGATGGGTGGGAAGGGAGGGATAAGGGCGGGGGAAAAAAAGGGGGTATTACGATTAGCATGTATAATGTGGGGGACATGGTGGGGGGCTGTGCAACACAGAGAAGACAAGTAGTGATTCTACAGCATCTTACTACGCTGATGGACAGTGAATGTACTGGGGTATGTGCGGGGGACTGGGTGAAGCGGGGAGCCTAGTAAACATAATGTTCTTCATGTAATTGTAGATTAATGATAACAAAATTTAAAAAAAAGAAAAAAGAAAAAAAAATCACCATGTATGGGTCTCTGCTTGAAACAAGGGTGGAGCTCTCTAATTTACAGACATATTTTTCTCTCACCTGAGGAAATTTCCATTTTTTTATGTACTTAAAATTAGTTCTTTTACATTTTTCTCATTTTTCCTTTAAAAGCATCAGTTATACTTCACTCTCCATTCTCTATTTGCCTTAAATATAATTAATCTTTTTCATACCTTTACCTTTTCATCTATATCAGGAATGACAAACTATAGTCCATGGCCTGTTTTTGAATGGCTTGTCGGCTAAGAATGATTTTTACATTTTCAAAGGGTTGCAAAAAAGCAAAAACACCGAAGAATATGCGACATAGACTAGTGTGCCTGCAAAACCAACTGTATCTACCATCTGGCCCTTTGCAGGAAAGGTTTGCCAGCCTCCGGTCTTCATCCCTGGAGAGCTTCTCAGGCTTATTCCCACATCTTTGCTTCCACTTTTTCACCAGGCCATTTCTTCACTACCCAGTTCTTTGCCACTGACTCCTGCAGAGACTTTGCTTTTGCCCATACAGTAGCAGATTCTTCGTAATGTTCTTCATGTCTTCTTTCAACTCCTGTCTTTTCATCTCAGCCTCTCCTCTTTTTGCAGCTTTTGTTCAGATTCACAGAACATTTTACTTCCTGCATTCCTGAAATGTTTGTCTGCTGTCTTCGTCTGCCTGTTCTTCAGTACTTTCTCATTTTTTAACTCAGTTTCGCTTCATGTCCTGATCACTCCAAGATGTTCTGTGGTCCAAGTATTCTCTCTTTAAGCACACTGACACATGATAAGATCTGGCCAATCTCTGTGTTTGGTGACAAAGTTTAACTACTGCTTTGGTTCTTTTTCTAACAACTCATGTGACCGTCAAATACTTGTTTTGCATGTATTACTTGTGGTGCACTTAGGTGCATGGCTCCCGCTAATCCAATTCTCAGCTTCTAGCTGGCTTTCCGTTAGAGCAGGAGTCAGCAAACTACTGTCTGTGGCCTGTAGGGCTCCCTAGCTAAGAGTGGTTTTATATTTTTTAAAGGTTTGTTAAAAAACAAAACCCAAAAAATTAAGGATATGTGACAAAAACCATTTGTGGTCCACAAAGCCTGGAAATATTTCTGACATGGTCTTTTATTGGGATTGTTGCAACCACTCACAGTTGGGCTAGAATATCTCTCCTTTTACCTCCCGCTGGCTCTTTGAATTGATGGAGTGCAGCCCCAAACTACAAACTCTGACATCAGCATCTTTCCTGCTGGAGCTCCTACTTGTGGGGTTTATTCACTGGGGCTTGATCTCAGAAGAACCAACCTACACTTGCTTTTTGCATGGTGCCACCGTCAATTGGAAAAAGAAAGATGCATGGGGTGGCTGTGGACACAGAGGTGGTTGTACTGAAAAGCAGAAGGCAGAGTACTGGGGAAGAGGACCTCACAGATTGGCACTATGAGTTGTGGAAGGATGGTGATCTTACTTTCGGGTTACTATGAACCCTGGATATCTCTAATCAGCGTCAGAATAAGACATATATTCCTACTTCCTACTTTATGTGTGTGTGTGTGTGTAAAAGGATTTCATTGCAAAAAAAGTTATAGAATCACTAAGTGAAAGTTTAAAGACAATAGACTAACATGATGATTTATTACTACATTAATCCAAAAAGCATAATCATTAATGTTACCTGTAATCATGCACTATTTTTCTTGCATTCTCTAGTTGTTCATTGGTTAACAGAATATTCCTGGGGTCTGTTACAGTGAAGAAATGATTGGCTCGTCCAACAAAGGTGCTTTGATCCCATCGAGGTTCCTTGATGTTAATGTTTGGTGGAAGTTCTCCAGACATGGTCCTGGACTACAGGGTATCAAAAAGACAAGTCTAGTTAAGACTTACAATGCTGCCAAACATTTAGAAACTTTCTAGTCAAATTAATCTTCTAGTAAAGATTTATGTACATTCCTATTTATAAAAATAATTTTGCATAAATGGAAGAAAGATAATTTAAATCCGAAGTTAATTTTTGTCCACAAATCTCAATTGATCTTAAACAAAGTTCAATAATTTTCTATATATTTCTCTTTGTAAGTATGTAGCATTTTATCATTCCTTACTTTTTGAAATTACACCTGGAAATACGCTAAGAAAAACAGATATATAAAAACTTAAAAATAACATCAACAGGGTCTGAAGTTTGAATGCCTTTTTCTGGGTGAAACAACCAACGTCAAGCTACCACTGCATTCTGGCCCACCAACATTGTTATTTCTCCCAGTAGAAGTGACTAGTAATGCAAGAAGCATTAAATGCCAAAAATTTTCTGGTAAAAAAGATTCATATGCTTTCAGCCTTGTTCAGCATATAAACCACCAATCAAATATGAAACATTATGTTCCTTAATCTAACGGGAACATAGTGGAAAAAACACATTCTTACAACCTCATGAATAGGAGTAATACTGTAACATACAATTTCCATCATAAAATACCTATTTTCTGGCTAAGAACCATTACTTTTTTCCAAAAGTAATTAATTTCTTTCTCTGAGTAATACATGCTTATTTTTAGAACTGCACTGTATTATTGTAATAGGTGCTTATGGTAGTATTCTGAATAAGCTTACTGTAGAAAACAAAGAATAATGAAACAAAAGCTCCTACAGTCCAGCCATGCTGAAATAGCCATTGTTAATGTTTTGGTACATTTCCTTGCAGACATTTTATATGCATATTATCATATAATTAACAAAATTAAGTTGATATCATACTATATATTTTAATTTCCTGATTTCTTCTTTTGGTAATAATTTATTGAGCATTCCCCAAGGCACTAAATATTTATTTTGAATATCTAACAACACCTTTAGTGTTGAACTTATTTTCAGTTTTTTACCATGATAAATAATGCTGCTCCTATGAATCTTGTCATGTCTATGAATCTTTCCCCTCAAAGCTGGTGATTTCCTTAGACTAGCTCTCTCACATGATATTAGTAGACTGAAGGATCTAACTACAATAAAAGGCTTCAAGCCATCACTTTCTTATTCCTGTTTCCCTATCCTATGTTTCTAATACCAGCTCTAAAAGCAGCTTTCTTCTCCAGTCATTTTTCATTGAGATTTTTTAGTGCTCCACACGTTCTGAGGTACATTAAGATGCCAGGTGCAGATACCAGGTACTCTTGTCATTTGTACTTCATCAAAATTTCAAATTGCTGCATATCAAGACTCTCTGGATCAAAATTGAACATGTTAGGCCCACAGATGTAAGGAATCTAGTGTATGTGGAAACAACTGGTCAGAAAGTAAAAATCATCCATTAGTCATAAAGTCGGCTGAGATAATGAACAGATAGAGCCAGCTGCAAAGCTAACAGGAAACCCTATTTTTCCCAAGGTCACAATGCAGTTATAGTGTCATAAGAACACCCGTCTTTGAGTGACCACTACTTTCTTATCTTAAGAAACTTTGTTCTGTATAGTCACAGACTGTCAGAAACTCTGCTGTTTAAAACCAGAGCAGGAAGAATGAAATGTCCCACTCTTGACACAGAAAAGGAACCTACATTTCCAGCCCAGATGCAGAGTTTCAGATTAGGGAGTTTCTTAACCTGACATTCCACATCCTTCTTAACTTCATAATTTCCAAGAAAACAGGGCCATGGGGCCACTTCACAGTCCAGACATTTACATCCAGCCCCACTTTGAGCCAATCAAAATACTACTTCACTAAGCTTCACCTAAACCCCCTCTTCTCCAAGGTGCTTTGAAAGACCTATCTCCTCCTTTGTTGGTGAGATGCCCCCAGATCATCGGGCATGTGGTCTCTTTCATTGCAATAAGTCATTAAACATGCTTCGCTGGACTACTGGTTTGTTCCTGTAGGTTTTTGGCTGATTGGGCTCTGATAAGGGAAATGAAATGTCTAGATTTTAGATCAGAACACATCAAAATCATGCACATCACGTACAGGGATACAGGAAATATAATGTATATCAGTGAGCTGTGTCACTGTATGAAGAAATGTCTACATTTCAAATTAGAAGACATCAAATGTATTATTTATAAAACATAAACAAAAAGCAAAAAACAAAACAAAAAAACCCCTCCAATTCATACCCAGGAGGGCAGTGGTTTTCAGACTTGCCTGCAGAGACCTAGGGCTCTGGTGGGGCACCTTCGTGACTCAGGAAGTGGAAAGGAGTTGGCAGGTGGGAGTCAGTAGGTGGGCTCTGGGCCCCTAAGTTTGTGTTCAAGAACAGCGGGTTTGCTTTTTTCTGCCTTCTACATCTGTTTGATGACAAAGATCATCTGAAAAGAGGCTTCTATTGCTTGGGGGAAAAAAAAGAAAAAAGGAAAAAGTTGGAAACCACTACAGGAGAAGATCTATGAGGTGGTTCACGTCCAGAAGGCCTCATGACTCTTCAGGCATTTTTTTTTAAACTCCAGTTTCACAGTCAACCCTGGCATACATTTGATTAGTGTTTCTCAAACTATTTGTCAAAGGACCTGCTTTAGTTTTTCTAATTTCTAATCCCCATCTTGAACCAATACTTTCATGAACTATATTAAAAATCAATCCGAAGAAAAATGAAATAAAAAAATTGGATAAAAAATAAAAGCCCCAATTTTTTATTTTTAGTTTCAGTAGATATGACTGTATCATATTGTTTTGAAAGTTCCTAAACACTTACTTTCAATTTCTATACTTACCTCAATGTGTACATGTAATAAACAATTCACACTGACTTTGTCTACAGGTCATACCTTGAATTTACACTTATGTGTATGGTTGACACTGTTTCTAAACATAAATGTCATCAAATAAATGCTATATCTGATCATATAACTGAAAGACAGATAATCTGGTTTAACTCCCATTTCTGAATGGTTTAACGTAAGATATAATCCCTACCTTTTGGATTACAATTTAAAGAGAACAGGAGAAATTCTTACCAAAACAAATATTTTAGCTTTGTTTTTCCTTTAAGGTCTAAAAAATGCTGCTACCTTTAATGCTCAATTATTGGGCACCTACCATGTGACAGATTCCTGGGCTACATTAGCAAACAAGCACAAAAATTCCTGCCCTAGTGGAGCTGATATTGGGGTGGCAGGGATAGAAGGAGAGACTCACAATAAGCAAAAACATAAGAGGTAAGTCAACTATTCATTAATTAGAAGGCAGTAAAGGTTTGGGTAAAAAACATAACGGGATAAGAAACACCATGACTATGGACTGCATTTTTAAATAGGGTAGTCAGTGTAGGGCTGACTGAAAAAATAACTTTGGAGCAAGATCAGAAGAAAGTGAAGAACTGAATCATGTGGGTGTCTGGGTGACAGAGCATTCCAGGCAGGAGGAACAGAGGTTGCAAAGACTGTAAGAATAGCAAGAAGGCATGCAGCTGGAGTGGAGTGCAGAAGGGAAGAGGGAGACAGGAGATAGGGAGGGGTTTCAGTTGGAGTCAGACTGTTTGGGGCCTTGTGGAGACTGCAAGGCCTTTGCATTCTACTCTGATGGAAAGGAGAATCACTGGAGGGTTCAGATCAGAGGATCAAAATGATCTGACTGACAATTTAAAGGGATTTCTCTGGCTGCTTGTGTGGAGAATACACTGGGGATATAAGAGCAGATGCAGAAAAAGCCAAGTGCAAGTAATCCAGGAGAGAGCCGATGGTGGTGCAGGCCATGGTGGGAGGATGGGGGTGGCAAGACCTGCGACATTCTGGTTATTTTGTTGATGGAACCAACAGGATTTCCTGACAGCTTAGATGTGGAGAGTGAGAGAAAGGAAGCACAACTCCTAAGGTATTTGGCTGGAGGAGCAGCAAATCTCGGAGTGCAAACAGCAAGTTCAGGTTTGTACAGAGTAAGGTCAAGATGCCTAGGAGACATCCAAGTGGAGATGTACAGGAGGCAGCTGGATTCAGGGGTCTGGAGTTCAGGGGAGAGGTTAAGTTGGGGATATACATCTGGGAGTAGTCAGCACAGAGACTGCATTTGAAATCATGCAATGGGATGAGCTCACCAAGGAAGTAATTATAAGTAGAGAATACTTCCAAGGACTCCATTCAGAGGTCAGAAATGTCTAAGTTACAGCAAAGGAGGCTGAGAAGGATGACCAGGTGGTGGAAAGTCAGGAGAGCGTGGTACCCTGGAAAACAGATGAAGGGAGTCTATCATTAGTCCCAGGGCCAATAGGAAGAACCAAAGGTAGTTGGTTGCTCACATTTTGGGGGAGGGAAGAGAGGGGAATATAACTCACTGAGGGACCAGCCTGGGGTAGAAGAACACTGCAAAAAAGGTCCTCTCTGCAAGTTCTGAAAATTCTAAGCAATGGTGGTAAGAAATGGGGAGAGACTGCACACACATTAAATGCCCTCTCCTCTAAGAACTGTTAATTCTGCGAAGCCACGGGCACAAACCGGTGGCCCCTTACTAACGGAGCACATCGAAATACCTGGAGAGCTTTTCAAAAAGACAATTACAATCCCCTTTCTAGAGATTCTGGCCCCATAGGCCCAATGTAAGGCCGGGCATGTGATTATGTAGTAGCTCTGGCGTGGCCTGCAGGCTCTCCAGGGAGCAGGCTGAGCTGAGCGCAGGGTGGGAGTTCTTTCCCTCCCTGTGTCCTCTCTGTGTGGCCTGGCCATCCCTCATCCATCCACGGTGGTCCTCAGTGGACAGCTAGTGATCGGGATTTTTCTCATGAAATTGAGTACCAAATAATCTTCCTTCCCTTTAAAGTATAATTCTATCACTATTTCTCCTTTACATGCTGCATAAATGATAAAAAAAAATTAAAACATAGTTTTCATGTAATTCTAGTTCTTAATAACAAACCACCTCCCGTTTGT